CGCGGATGTCAATAAAAATATAGACACGTAATTACTTGACATACCAAAATATCAAGAAAATTTGTAGTAGCAAGAAACAAATTTTTGCTTAAAAAGAATTCACTAAATAAACATATCATAGTTTGGAAGGCATATTTTGTTCGACAGTCTTAAAAGCTAGCTATAGCTAGCAATATAACTAAAATTTGCACATGACAAAAATTGTGTGTTTCCGATGAAAATAATAAGACAAGTCTCTACCAGAGACCAAATGTCATAGAAGTTAACAACTATAGGTCACCGTACGGCCTTCAACGATGAGCAAAATCCACACCGCATAGTAAGCTAAATAAGGTCCCGAAATGACAATTGTAAAACAATTCTAATGTAAAAATAAACTAACAACCTGATTTATGTACAAATCAATAAACAAAAACAAAAATATGATACACAGCAAGAAACGACCACTGAATTTGGGACTGACAGATACAGAATGTGGCGGGGTTAAACATGTATGATGGCTCAAAACCCTCCCCCATAACATTGGACATTGATGCTGTAGTTTCTCATTGACAACATATTTATTTAAATTTTGAGGTCTTATTTTCCAGCAGGTTGTCGGCATTCTTAAGGGAGCCAACTGTGCACATCTCCTGGCCGACATTTTCTTATATTTATTTGAGTTCCGTCAGACACTTGTATAGAAAAACAAGAAGATCAAGGAAGCTAGATCATTTTCAGTAGGGTCCTGAGGTGCAATTCGAACGCATGAGGCTTCTACAGAGTTGTTTCCGTATTGTTTACCCTTGTGTTTATATTTTACTGAATTTGTACTTTTTAAAAAAATATATATACTAAATACAGTATGTACTATCAACTACAAAAAAAATTTGTCTGCGTTGTTGTCAATTTACTATCACCTACAAGAACTTTTTTGTTGACGTCTTTGTCAAATTTATTTGTATGTTTGTTTGAATTTTTTAGTCAATTGTGTTGTATGCCTGTGATGTATGTTTACACAGTTATGGCTACTGGGTTCTTATTATTGTCACATTAACCTATTATATGTATTTGGGTTTGTCATTTTTTATGGACTTTCCCTTTTTGTACTAACCTTGGAGTTCGGTATTTTTGTTATACTTTTTTAAAACTGTTTTGGTATATATACATCATTTGTGATCTATCTGTCTGTTAGGCTGTCTGTCTCGTGGTTGATTAAAGTGATAATTGTAGGTTTTGTCAGTCAGTTTTTACAAGCTATTTTTTTTCGTGTTAACTACCAGCTCTTTTATACATTTATGTGGTTTAAGCAAAGTCTTCTAATCTAGATGTTTGGTCTGTTCAATCAGGAAGAAAATTTAACAAAGAAATAGTTGTCTGGGAATTAAAAACAAATTTAATTATAAAATCATTCATCATCTACTTAATCTGGCAGAAAAAAAACGAGTTCATCATTTCTATTTTATAGTCATGATTTAACCTCAAAGATTTTCTGATTCGATTGAAGATGACGTGATTGAATTGTTTAAGTAATCGGAATGCGTGTTAAAACACGTTTTTTTTCCGAATTTTGCATAGTAGGTCAATGTCTACCGTCTAGAAGTACATTTTTTATGTTCAAACGGCATAAAATGTGCCCTTAGGTATTTTCATTTCATCACGAATAGAAAAATACATGTCAAGGTCAGTAATGTAGATTTTTTTTTTAATATGAAAAATACTTCTAATCATTAATGTGTGATCTGTTTCTTAGTGTGTTTTGAAAATTAACAATTCAACGATTCGGTCTAACTTGGAATCTTCCGCCTGAGCATTATACCACTGATCTAAAATTTAGGCTATATGAGTACTCCGCAGATTACAAGCCGCTACTTTAAATTTGTCTTTCGCTTTTATCGTTTTTAAACCAGTTCGATTTCTCTGGTTCCCCTTTTTATAAATCATAAATGTTTGTTATGTTTCTTTTACTATTTCGAAGATTACCACTACACTGTTTGGGTCAAACTTAACAAATGAGTAATATGAGTACCCAACTACCGCAGCTTGACGCCGATTTTTCAAGGTCGAAAAAGAGATAAATAGACTTGTGAAATCAGTGAATTTTTATAATTTCGTCATCATGCTACTACCAGAACTGTAAGTTCAACATTATTATCACGTCTGCCATCAAATCAAAAATAGATGATTACATTTGTTAAATTCCTGTTTGAATGTTAATTAAGTTCTGAAGTGGTTTATCTGCAATTAGATACATGGTAATTTACAAGAAATTCACTTCAATTGTAAAGGCCATTTAGATTAAAGAAGAAATATATACACAATCCACAGAAATATCTTAACCTAAGATTCCGAAGTAATGTTGTGATTTTCATGTAAAAGAGTAAAAATTTAATCATATCTGGGCCTTTTATTGCTGACTATACGATATGAATTTTGCTCATTGTTAAAGGCCGTACGGTGGAATACTGCTGCTTACATGCTCGTCATTTGGACAGTTGTCTCATTGGCAATCACGCCACATCTCCTTATTTTAAATAAACTGTATATGGAATCTCCTTTATTTATTTCATTGGGACAGAAATGGTCAACACAGTCACCAAACTTGGCATTATAATTCGTGAGATCACATCATAGCTGAACATGGAGTCAAATAGTAATGCTTGTATCTTTTATTTTTTCATTAGAAGCCCCTGTATGACGTTAACGTTGTCTCATACAAATAACATGGCAATATGTAAGAGTTATCATTATTCTTTTTAAATCCGATATTTTTAGGTTCTTACACAATATTGAAGATATCTGTAATGAGTTTGATAATTTCCCCTTTTCAAACGTAAGGGTAAGAAAATGACCTAGAGCGTCTCACACTAATCGAAAATACGATTGATCCTGGCTATTTATTCATATCATACTAAACATGACCTCCCCTGCTACTATGTCGCATGCCCCTAAGTCATAGAAAACAGGTAAGTGCGAGATTGCATCAAGTTATGTCTTCCACAGGTAAAACATATTTACCACTGTCTTTTTTTTTAAATTTTTCTAATGAAATATGGTTAACATGTGTATCTAAATGAAAAATTGTATGGTCTTTGATGATCTTTGTTGAACCTATTCACGGTTTTTCATAATGACACATTGCTTGACATAATGTGTAGACACTCGTTGAAGCCGTATGCTGACCTCTAAATGTCTTTCGACTGTTTGGTGTCGTTCTGTTCAACGTTGCTATCTTATTGACTTGTTTTTCACCTATCCTCTACTACTCAATGGCATTTCAAAAAGATAAAAGACCTAGTGGCTTCAACATCAATAGATGTCCCATTAGAGCAAATATAGTAAATATTTTGTTAATGGTCATAAGATATGTCGAGAAACCGAAACGTTGACGTTTGATGCCCGGATGGCATTTTTCCATAATGTAGGCCAAGTTCGTCTTCGTCGCAACTTAGCTTAAAATTAATAAATCTAACTATTATATTTTTCTATTAAGCTTGATTTATAATTTTTGTAGTCAATTTTCAAACGTTCGTCAAATTTCTTAAAAAGTTCAATAACTTCACTTTTAACCAATATTTCTTAAAACCGCTGACTAAGGGACAACATCAAAAGTTCAATGTAGGATAAAAAACTTAATTCACATAGTTTTTTCACTGACCCCCCCCCCCCCTCCCCCTCCCCCACCCCCCTCTTAACTTAATTTGGGAAAAATTGATTGACCAATATGGATATATGTAAAATCGATTTTGGATAAAAAAAACTTGCAGCAATTTTAACCCCCCCCCCCCCCCCCCCCCAAACTATTTGATTTAGGTTTTTTATCCTACATTGATCTTTTGATGTCGTCCCTAACTGGTTTGGATCATTCCTGATGAAGGTTAACCCAGAAAAGCGCTTCGGACGCATGAAATTATACAGTGTCATTTTCATTTGTTATAGCACTAGTTCTATACCGCTGCTGGTGGACTATCAGTTTAAATTTCCTTTTATAAGTTTTAAAATTATTAAGAAACTAAGGTGTAAATTCCCTCAGGTAAAGTTGACCTTAGATGGATTTTGCTATTAGTTTATTGATATAATTGTTTAAGGTATGGCGGGACTATGATATTCGTTCTTCCTGTATTAATCGTTCAGGTCGTCGCCGCACTACAGTTACCATAGACTAAAAGGTGTTTGACCACTCTGCTCATAAATATTAGAAAATTGATGTCTCGATGAAAAGAAATTCGAAAGACAGAATTTCCAGAGATTGCAATATAAACTGTGTGTTTTTTTTTTTATTTACATGACATTTAAGTGAGCATCTATACGCGTATGACTTGGGCGATTATTTCTAGGTCCATTTTGGTCATGCAGCTCCATTACGTTTTGAGGTATTCATACATTGCTGGTGTTAACATGTTCAGGTTCAGTGAGCGTTCCTGGTGAAATTAAATCCAGAAAAGCGCTTCGGACGCGCGAAATTAATAAAATGTTATTTTCATTTAGATATAATTACTCTGCTTGCTTGATTTTCAAGCTACTTCAATATTTACATCTTCAATATTGACATCCAGTTTAACATTTTGTAGTTGCGTACAAATCTATGAAGATTAAAAAATGTTTGTCCATTTACGTACCTTTTAACAGGTTAACTTACGTTTGTCCAACGTATCTTTGATTAAGTATAACAAGGTCATATAACTTTCTCAATCTCTGTATGACCCTTCATCAAAAGTATGCTAATATTTGTGTTACAAAAAGAAAAAAATCTTATGCTCTGTACAAAGAATGACATTATTTGTGAATGTAACTATAAAGGGATGAAGTGTTTAATTGTTAACCAGAAATAATTTGTTACAATGTTATTACGTTGTCTCTATCTGCCAAAACTTATTACGTAATTTCCATTTGTAATTGCTTAAATTTGTATTATACTTGAAAAAAAAATGGTCGAATGCATCGGGTAAATGAAGTAAATAGGACTTTCCATGTATTTGTTTGGACTAATATGACATTCAAGTAGCAATTAGTTTGTTTACAGAAGTACAAATAAGTACAAATTGTCTACAATTGTTATCTGCTGGGATACTCTGTCTAGGGAACGTCGGTGTAGCCATTTGCATACTAGGATCATTATCAGTTCATTTGAAACATTACTTTGAAAGGCAGTCTACAACATGAACGTTAATATTAATCATAAAGAATGATAAACGGATCCACTAATCATTGTGATTTATCAAAAATAATTCCGGTGCTGAACTTAAAGGATCTCTATAGGACATTTACGTCAATAAGACAATGCGAAGCGTTTCAAATATTTCATACTTTACTGTACATCAAATACATATAAGGAAAACAGAAAAACAATATTTTTGTGTTCAACAAATGTAGGGCAAGAAAATGATTATTCTATTAAGCTGTCATGCCTCATTAACATGTCATTAATTGTTATTCTTTTTTCATATGGACTCAATGGTGGGATATTTGTTTCTTCCTTGCTGATTCTTCAAGTATTCATTTTGCGCAGAGAAATGTGTTAAATTTCAAGTCCTTTTCTATTATTAACAGACATTTTCAAAAGGATTTTATATGTACTAGTAATCATAACATTTAACCGTTACAACATTAGTGAAAGAAAAGGTAAAGATGAAACTCCTAAGTAGTGCCAACAATACCACTCTACCCGAACTGTACAATGACACAGATTTGAAAAGCGTTATTGTTTATGAAGCAGCAATAGCTACAGTATTGACGATTTGTGTTATTTCATCGTGTTTATTCAACATAATAATTATAATTGTGTTTATGAGGTTCAAATGCCTGAGGACAAAACATGATATGCTTGTCATTAACCTTGCATTTACAAATTTAATAATAACTGTGGGAATTTCGTTTTATTCTACTTATACAATACAACCAGGCGATATTTTTCACATGAAAATCGTGTGTATGAGCTTGTTTATATGTATCTTTGGAGGAATACTTACATCCCTATTGGTGCTTCTACTTTTGAGTCTTGAGCGATTTTTGTGCATCGTCTACCCTCACTTTCATGGCCGGATCCGAGTTCGCCATGTAATATTGTGCAGCATCCTCGCATACCTGGTAGGTTTGTCATATACCATTATACCATTCATATTAAAAAATAACTGGGACCGTTACCATCTTTGTGTTTTGGATGTGTTTCCCTTTGAATTCAGTATTGCAGAACAGGTTTGTGGCATTGTAATTATTACGACAATTGTAACAATTAATGTTATTGTTTACAAAACAGCTCTTTCTCAAGCCGCAAAAATAAATGTTCTACTTAAAAACGTCCAGCATAGGCACACAAGAAGCCGTAAATTAAGACAAAAGGGGAAAGCTTTTGTGACTGTCTTTCTGTTGTCGGGTATATCAGCTGTATGTTGGATCCCTTTATTGGTAGTTTTCGCCTTAGAATCTAACCCCAATTTACCTGAGGATTTCAGATGGATATTCACCCAGTTACTGTACGTTCCGGTAGCGTTGAATTCGTCTGTAACTGCTATTATTATTGGACATAGAAACAGACATTTCAGAGATGCTATAAAATCTATGTATTGCAGAAAACAACACGAATGTATTCACAACAGTACCATCTGATCTCTAGTTATTCGACCATAGAAGTGTAATCGGATTTTCGACTATGTATTCAAAAATATATAAAATAATAAAACTGACGTTGTGCTGTTATAAACAAGAAAAGAAACAAGGAGTCAACGTTAATGAAACAGAACAAAAAAAATAATAAAAAAAAAAATAACCAAAATATACATCTACACCAAATGACCTTCAGTAATGGACAAGCATCCATACCGAATGACAAGTTCTCAGTAACTAGTTAATACTGTAAAACGTTATAACTTTCTCTGTTAGACCAATCTGACTGTTCAATTGGTACCTTTTGTTTTTATACTATAAAACGTTGTAACACTCTATGTTAGACCGATCTGACTGTTCAATTGGTATCCTTTTGTTTTTATACTATACTTTGTAACTCTCTCCTGTTAGACCAATCTGACTGTTCAATTGATATCCATTTGTTTTTATACTGTAAAACGTTGTAACTCTCTCCGTTAGACAGATCTGATTGTGTAATTTATATCTTTTGTTTTTATACAGTATTGTAAAACGTTGCAACTCTCTCCTTTAGACAAATCTGACTGTTCAATTTATATCTTTTGTTTTTATACTGTAAAACGTTGTAACTCTCCGTTTGACAGATCTGACTGTGCAGTTTATATCTTTTGTTTTTATGCTGTAAAGCGTTGTAACTCTCTCCGTTAAACAGATCTGACTGCGCAGTTTATATCTTTTGTTTTTATACTGGAAAACGTGGTAACTCTCTCCGTTAGACAGATCTGACTGTGCAGTTGATATCTTTTACTTTTATACTATAAAACTTTGTAACTCTCTCCATTAGACTGACTGTTCAATTGATATCCTTTTCGGTTTCATACATAAAACTTTTGCACAATAGAACGGTGAAACTCTCACCGTTAGACCGACCTTACCTGGCTTGCGGTAAGCAACAAAAGTGTTTAGATTTTTAAATAGAACAAGGGAAAATGTCAGAGGAAAATGCTATAGTGTCTTCCTTGAATGCCAACATTTTATATGTTATCTATTCCTTGAATGCCAACAAAAATATTTCAATGGATGTATATATAATAACAATAGTTGTATTTATAAGTATTTAACTGTTAAAAATAATTAGTGAACTTGATAAAACTGCAAAATTTTATCACTTTTTGATTAAACAAAATAGTAGATATTAGGGTTAAGATTATTATGAATTTTAAAGAAATAAAGAAAATGAAAACATTTTATTACTTTTTAATAAAACAAAATGATATTTTGAGAATGGAAATATTTATTAACGTAAGACATTTTAGTTAAATACAATTATTTCAAACTAAAAAAGGATATTAGAGTTTTTTTAATATGAACTATATGAAAATTTCAGTTGAACAAGTAATTAAACTTTACAAATCATCAGAACTAATTAAGTAAATTTGATAACTTCCAAGCTGGAAACTTTACAAGAAAATCCAAAAAATAGGGAAACAAGAATTCCGATGAGTTGCGAACATAATAAACACATAAACATTATTATTTTATGAATCACTTACAATAAAAAAATAAAGGTCGTAGCAATATTACCAAAAAAAATATCCGGAACAAACTGAACAAAATAAAAACATAGTAATCTAACACGTGATACAAAGTTTCAAGAAATTCCATCAAGTAATATGAATTACAAACATGAATTAGATTTAGGTACCTGTAATTTACCTATCTGTTTAATTAGTATGATTGTTTTGATAAGCATGCACTTTTGTTTTGAAATGTACTTGCACCTATTCTTCGAACGCCAACATTGTTTTACAGGTAAATTGTCGGTAGATCAAAGGATGTTGGTATTCAAGGAATAAACAAATGCTATACTGGCATGAATCTATTTAGGGAATTTTAGCATGGATTGAAATGGCCCATAAAATCTGAAAATATTATTCCTTTTTTGCTCCTGTTTATGATGCAACATATATCATTTTAACAATGGCATACGGTTTGTTGCAGGTCCTAATAAGAGGGGGTGGTTCTAAAATTGTTAAGTACAGACAACACTGTCTTTCAGATTGTTCAGCATCTTTTAATGTTTTTGAATTTGATTTGCTACAGAAACATATACACAAGCACGCCATAGTGACTTTCAATGCCCAATCTCCAAGAAAAAAAAGAGATACCGAGGACAGGCCTACATCAATGAGACAGCAATCAAAAGACCAAATAAAATTTAAAAAAAAGGCAAGCAGAGGTCATCAAACAGTAGGCAAGTAGAGGTCATTAAACAGTATACAAAATTCCATATAGTTTGTAGTCCCGAGTCTAGACAAGTGTAAAGTCAAGACTACTGAAATTGTCCCTGCATATCAAATACAAGAACAGAAAAAATACATTTAAAAGTTAAGACTACTGAAATGGTCCCTGCACATCAAATACAAGAACAGAAAAAAATACATTTAAAAGTCAAAACAGTCACTACTGAAATTGTTTCTGCACATCAAATACAAGAACAGAAATAATACATTCAAACAAAGACAACTGCTCATCTGGTTCCTGTCTTAACACAGGAACAGTAAAGTAATTCTGTCAATACTTAGACCTCCCCCATTTATCGGTCATTGTAATACTACTATCAAATTGTTACTGAGAAGAACAAGCTTTTTTGCACGTGGGAAGAATGAATGGTAATAATCGACGCTCTATTTCCGACTTGAAAGAAATTAGGTATGTAAGAGGTGTTCTTCATCACAATTGTTCACGTATATGTTTCATTTAGAGCAGGTTATGCCTTGTTGGATTTCAGTAAACTTGGTACATTTGTACCAATAGACATTTGCGGAAACTGTCATACACCTACGATTAGGATTACAATTACACTTTCAAGTAGCATTTAAATCTTGGGTCGTCTCAAAGCGTAAATATGAACGTTCGTTTCAAAACAAGTTCTTACTCCTATGATGTTTTTCTATTGTTGAACAACAGAGATTTTAAGAAATATATGAAATAATATGTACACATTAACTATTGTACATCGTGTTCATGTACGAAGTATGATAGAATGAATACACATCATTTAATAAGTTTTTTACATGAGACGCGCAAAAAACGTATTGTCGTTGGCTAGGTTGGGACAATTAGAAATAATCTCAACAAGACTTAGTGCGAAGGAAAGACGACCAACTAAGGAGCATGTTGACAATATTAATGTTATGTCAAGACATATAGTTTCCATATTTTTTTTAAGAAAATGGGAAGAAACAGAGGTTGGATGCTTTTAAAATAACTATTTACTTTCATGGCATTATACTTGATGGTCGGTATATTTTAATTATCTTTTATTATTTCAAGATAGGGAAAACACTTATGTCCACGTTTTTGGTATAAAAAAAACCCCAAAAATATACGAAAAAAACATCATCGTTATCAATGAACATCTTTGTATCGAATATATAATTCAAACTATTCGTCAGATTCTGTTGAAATGCAAAATAAGAGTACTCAAATAGTTGGAATTTTACTATCGATCTTCTCAAATTAAGAAAAACCAATACCTGCGTCGAACTTTGACGAATTTTTTTCCCTGTGCAATGAGGCTTGTAAAATTTCAAACTATCGGAAACAGGAAGTGACTATACGGCAGATGTACAAATAGCATACACGGTGCAGCTCACTAGTTATTAAGCTGTAGATCAAATATAAATCATTCCTTTCTATAGAGGTCAGGAAAACTTTATGCACGGTCTTTCGAACGGAGCCGAGTGGTTACTAGACGTGCTTTCGCCTTCAGCGGGTTCTGAGTTGTTGTTTTTGTGCGCAATTTGTATAGAGATCTTGGGAGTCATTTGATTATAGAGGGTTTTTTTCACGGTGTCTATAATTATTTCTCTCCCATAAACATGGGTGGATCTGGTCTGATCGAAGTATGAGCAGTTACTATTGATCCGAGACCGGTACAATTGTACTCTAGAGTGCACTTATGACGGTTATACAAAGTTTATCCGCAAAATCATTTCATTGATTAAAACGGATAAAAGGTCCAAATGTATATCAGGCGAGAAAAAATTGTTAAAACTATCTAAAACGGTTAAGGAGCAGTTTCGGATACAAAATGTATCGTGAAAACGAAGGACATTGATATCTCAAAAGCATTGATAATTATATTGTGTTACTTGCTTATCGCATATTCCCTGATTTTCAAGTGCACGGTTTGTAGAGTACCTTCTGAACGAATTTATGCTCATTTTGCTATACTAAAATTAAGTAAGACACACTTTTGGAACTATATTAAAAAGATTATAAACATTATACAAGATAGCCTGGGATCCTGGCCAACTGCTTGACAGTAGACTATCGACGAAGTATTAGATTGGGTCAGGATGCCAGGCTATATACAAGACAACAGATTGTTCGAAAAACCCCAGGATATGTAGATGAAGTCTAAAAAATCACACTTAGACTTATTACACACAATAAGGTCAAGCTTGAACACACCATTAGAAAATAAAAAAAATACAAAGCTATGGGGATTTTTTGTGACATAACCAATACAGCGATTCAAATCTTTTGGGACCATTTGCGCTGCATTAGTTTGTCGTCGAAACCTTTTATTTGCATCATATGGTTTAATAAGTATCTCTATTGTTGCTTTTTTTTAAATTTTGAGATGACCCCTTGATTTTCGTCAACTGTAATCGTAAATGTCTAATAGAAACAGAATTGTCACACATTTATTTGTTTGTTGACATGTTTTTGTTGTGGAGTGTCCTAATGTTCTGATCATGTAAACTCGTGTATTATTTTTGTCATGAAATTAACTATTATATAATATAGTTCAACCAAATTAATGTTTTATTGTGCATGTTCACATTAAGGAAAAAAACGAAGACAAAATTATGACAAAATAAAGCACTTGATTTAGACAATTCTGCGTCTTTCAACTCAAAGTTTGTTAACATCCAACCACAAATGCCCTCAAAATATTTTTTTAAATGTGTTTTTATATGAAATATTTAGCAAAATAATGTAGATGGCAAATACTTATTGCATAACACTGTACAATATTCTCTTGCAAGATTAAAACGACCTTTTTGTAATACTGAGGTCTGGCTTTTTA